GTTCATTTTTATTGTTTCTAGTTCATGAACTGGTTAACTGAAAACAGTATACAAAGCATTGTGAGTTGCATGCAATGTCTCCATAAAATCTGAGAAAATACTGGCCTACAGTGCAGTTTTCCAATACTTACTGGATAATTTGTTGTGTTTTACTTTGCAATATTACAGTATTTTAATGGTGCTACTTTATGAACAGAGTAAATGGAAATGTGCAATCCTGCATGAGATACATGATAATACATCTGTTTAAACTCTACAAAACAAGAACTTTCATTTGTAGTACAGTTTCCCTTTAGAAACTGGGTAATATGTTAGATTTTACTTTGTATTTTTGCAGTACTTTATTGTGACGAGTTGTATGAACAGGTTAAAAAAAACTGTAAAGTGTTTAATGAATTTTATGGTAAACATTGCTTAAAATATAAGACCTTAAAGATTTCTACACTTGCATAGTAAGGGGAGATGTAAACCCATTAAGATGCAAGTTTTCCAAGCCAAATCTTTATTGATTTGTCATGTGTATTAAAAGGAAAACTGTTTAAAGTTTACCAAAAAAAAAAGAGAGAGAGAAAAAGTCAGGTTAATGTTTTGCATTGATTACAGGCGAATAATGTTGCTCCACTGAGCTCAAGATGTCGCTATATACTAGCCTAAAATATCATCATCCCTCCTTCCTTTGTTAACTTCCCGGATTTGCGCCGTGGAGCTGCTCTACATTATTAGGCAGGATCGCTGAATTGACGCATTTCGTCATTTAATGTCATCCGGTCATATTTGAGGAACTACGACATAAACCCTTTCAGAACTAACATTTGAAAACGGGTTTAACAATGGAAATCTTTCCGTCGCTGGTTTGCGTCTCTTTTTTCTTCTGCACGTCGCGCATGGAGAACAGAGTTATTCTTTCCTGGAGGAGATGAAGCGAGGATCAGTTATTGGAAATATCGCCAAGGATCTCGGGCTGCAGACTGGAGCGCTGTCCACTAGAAGAGCCCGAATTGACACCGAAGGGAGTGATAGACGTTACTGTGACATAAACCTGAGAAACGGAGCGCTGATGGTGACAGAGAGGATTGATCGTGAAGGCCTTTGTGGCAAAAAGGCTTCATGTGTCCTAAAACAGGAGCTCGTTTTGGAGGATCCTCTGGAGCTGCATCGAATTAGCCTTCATATTCAAGATATAAATGATAACTCACCGGTATTTAAGGAAGTAAATATAGACATAGAAATTCAAGAATCGGCTGACAGGGGCTCGGTTTTTAGTCGAGGAGGCGCACGACGCGGATGTAGGACAAAATTCAGTTCAGCAGTATAGCCTAGAAAAGAACGAACATTTTATTCTGGCTGCTAATGGAAACACAGTGGAGCTTGTTTTAGATAAAGAGCTTGATAGAGAAAAACAAAAGGAAATGAATTTACTCCTTTCAGCTCTAGATGGCGGATCTCCTCAGAGATCAGGTACAGTGGTCATACATGTAACTGTACTGGATGCTAATGATAACGCCCCAGTGTTTAGCCAGGCCGTTTATAAAGCCAGTCTGCCTGAAAACTCTCCTATAGGTACTGTAGTGATAACAGTGAGCGCAACTGATGCAGATGAGGGAGTAAATGGAGATGTGACTTATGATTTTGGACATGTTACTGACGAAGTTATGAAAATATTCAGTATTGATAGTAAGAAAGGGGAAATACGTGTAATGGATACTGTAGACTATGAAGTTACAACATCATATGAAATACGCGTTAAAGCAAAAGATGGTCTAGGCTTATCATCTTATGCTCAGGTTATCATTTCTATAACTGATGTGAATGACAACGCCCCTATAGTTAGTCTGAAATCACTGACCAATCAAATACCAGAAGACACTCCATCCGGTACAGAGGTGGGGATCATTAATGTACAGGACAGAGACTCTGAGAATAATCAACAGGTTCGATGCTCCATCCAGGAAAATGTCCCTTTTAAGTTGATTCCCTCAATTAAAAACTATTATTCTCTGGTGACTACAGGACAACTGGACCGTGAATTAGTATCTGATTACAACATTACAATCATTGCCACTGATGAGGGCTCTCCACCTCTGTTCTCCTCTAAAACTATTCAGTTGTCTGTAGCTGACATCAATGACAACCCTCCTGTGTTTGAGGAACAGTCCTACAGCGCATATGTTAGTGAAAATAACAAACCTGGCTCCTCTTTATGTACTGTTTCTGCTCGAGATCCTGACTGGAGACAAAACGGTACAGTGATTTATTCTCTGTTACCTGGTGAGGTGAACGGTGCCTCGGTGGCCTCCTATCTATCTGTTAATGGAGACACAGGAGTGATCCACGCTGTGAGGTCATTTGACTATGAACAGTTCAGGAGTTTCAAAGTCCAAGTGATGGCCAGAGACAATGGTTCTCCTCCTCTCAGCAGCAACGTGACTGTCAGTGTGTTCATATCTGATGTGAATGACAACTCTCCTCAGATACTGTATCCAGCACCAGAGGGCAGCTCCTTCATGACTGAGCTGGTCCCTAAAGCTGCACATGGAGGGTCTCTGGTGTCCAAAGTGATAGCAGTGGACGCAGACTCTGGACAGAACGCCTGGCTGTCCTATCATATAGTCAAAGCCACAGATCCTGGACTTTTCAGTATTGATCTACACAGTGGAGAAATCAGGACCCAGCGGGACATTTCAGAATCTGACAGCATGAAACAGAACCTGATTGTTGCAGTGAAAGATAATGGACAGCCCTCTCTGTCTGCCACCTGTTCAATGTATTTACTGATTTCTGATAACTTGGCTGAAGTGCCAGAACTGAAGGATATTTCTTATGATGAGAAAAACTCCAAGCTGACCTCTTATCTGATCATTGCCCTGGTTTCTGTGTCTACCTTCTTTTTGACCTTCATCATCATCATCCTGGGTGTGAGGTTTTGTCTTAGAAGAAAACCCAGACTGTTGTTTGATGGAGCAGTAGCCATTCCAGGAGCTTATCTTCCTCCTAATTATGCAGACGTTGATGGAACAGGAACTTTACGCAGCACCTACAATTATGATGCCTACCTGACAACAGGATCCAGAACCAGTGACTTTAAGTTTGTATCATCTTACAATGACAACACGCTGCCTGCTGACCAGACCTTGAAGAAAAGTCCAACAGAGTTTGCCGATGTGTTCGGAGACAACATGGACTTTCCGGAGGTAAAAAATGTTTCGTTTTACCTCTGTAATGACTTCAAGTTCTTTGCCTCTTTTATAGGGTTCTCAAACGTTTTTTTGTTTTCTTTTCAGATATTCTTTCACCCAAATTTATATAACTTCCTCATCTTTTTTTTTCCTTTTCATTTTGTATTCCCTTTGTTCGTATTTGGTTAATCCCTGCCTTTTTAGTAATTCTTTTCCGCACACTTTTCTTACATCTAGTACTTATTCGTTGCACTTCTCTGACTTAACCACTTTATTATGCGTATATAATTCTATTTTCTCTTTTTTGTTGATTATGTCAAGTCATAGTTATAGTTTTTTGTTTGTTGTTTTTCTTTACACCAAACTTGTATTTTCTAAGCTATAACCAGTGTATGCTCATTTTTCACTTTTCAAAACAGAATAACTTTTCATTGGTTTTTTAAAAAATATTTGAAAAGTCGAGGTATTTTTGAGCACTTTATTTTCTTGTTCATTGCCAGTTGCTTGTTTGTGAGAATTCGTGCGACATCCTTCATATGAACCTGTCATATATTATAAACCATCGATTCATATGTTGGGGCGTGTGGCAAGATGATTCGGGAATCATTTTAAACATCTTCAGCTTGCTCGTTTGTCAGTGTTCTGTGTTTTCACATTCAAATGCGGGGTTTTTGTTGTCATAACGTGAACGCTCGCTTTCCATGATTACTGCTAAAAGCTCAAAATGAACTCAAGACATGAAGTCACTGCTCTGTATTACAACAACGGAACTTACTGGCTCACAGGTTTCCCCGCTTTCTCCAAATGAGACACCAGCTTTTTCTATGTCTCTGTCCCGGGTGCTGAAATTGACTGCCGCACCAGTCGTTTAAATCTATGAATAACCCACTTATTCAACATGCCGTAAGACATTTAAATCAAAGCTTTGCCAATGCCTTCTTATTAGATTATATAATTGGATGTTACGAACTCCAATTTATAAATAAATAAAAATAAGTTAATTATGATAAGGTTGAATGGTTGGATTTTTTTAATACTTCAAAACGTTTATCAAGTTATTGTTGTTTTCACGTTCTCCTCACACACACAAAGAAACCTGAGAGTTCATTTTGCGCTTTTAGCGTGTGTGTTGTCTTTCATGATAACCGTGGAAAGATTTGTGAGACGGAATTAGGATGTAATTCATTGAAATACGGAGCCGTCCTGCTAATGACCACTTATGATTTTTTTCTTCTCTCATTCGGTGTCTCTTTACTGAAAAAACGTGTGATCACGTTCACTTGAAAGGTGTTTGCATTTATATGTTCACAGAGTGATATAACAATTAACTACAAAAAAAAAACACATGCAATTTCAGATTATATTTAGAAAAACTGGGAACACTTCTTGCGTTATAACGACGGGAATGACGCAGTTTTAAACATTTTAGAATTTAGATGACCCTTTTGCAGTAATGACACAAAATAAAAGTCCGATTATCCTTCAATAAGTATGCATTTATTTGACTGGTTCAATATTTGAATGGCATCATTTTCTTTCCAAAATGCAGATTGCAATTATGATCACGTCTCTTGCGTTGTCATTTTTTAGCTATACTCAAGGTGTCACTAAAGACCAGCAACGCGTTTAACCCCGAATATGTTTTGCACACGATCCACCATGACGACTGGGAGGTATTTCGTCTTTTTTCTCTGAAGCTGGAGCGAAATCCAAGGAATACTGAAATCATAATCAAAAACACTTCACGACTGAAACCGTATCTGCATTATTTTAGTGTCTGATGATGGCGCGTGGACTACGTTTCCCCGGGATCTGTGGACTCCTCTTTGTCCTTTTTGTTGAACACTGCACACAGGGAGAACTGACATATTCCGTTCGAGAGGAGCTGAAGCGCGGGTCTGTCATCGCAAATGTTGCCAGGGATTTGGCCTGGAATCGCGGGGAAACGATGCTCGTAAAGTCCGCGTAGAAATGGAACGAAGCGAGAAGGAGTATATCAGAGTCGACCCGAGGACCAGAGACTTATTGGTCGCCGGAAGAATAGACAGAGAGGAGCACTGTGGACAAAAACCGACCTGTGTTCTGAAATTTGACCTGCTTTTAGAACATCCCCTGGAACTGCATAGGCTGTCCCTTCAGGTTGAGGATATAAACGATAATTCTCCAGTGTTTCAAAAAGATACAGTGAAGCTGGAGATCAGCGAGTCTGCTGACAAAGGAGCCAGGTATCGCATTAATGCAGCGCACGACGCAGATATAGGCCAGAACGCCGTTCAAAGCTACACCCTAGAACAAAACCCCCACTTTGTGTTTAGTATTCAAACAACCAGTGCTGGCAGTAAATATGGAGAGCTGGTCTTAGACAAAGAATTAGATCGTGAAGAGCAGCAAGAATTCAAATTATTGCTGACAGCTGTAGATGGTGGATCTCCGCAGAGATCAGGAACTGTAATCATACACGTTACTGTGCTCGACGCTAATGATAACGCTCCAGTGTTTACTGAGGCTGTGTACACGGCCAGTTTTCCGGAAAATGCTCCTTTGAATACCGCAGTTATCAGAGTAAGCGCAAAAGACGCAGATGAAGGTATTAACGGTGAGGTGACGTATGAGTTTGGCCGACTGTCTGATAAATCAAAGAAGTTATTTTCACTTAATGAAAAGACCGGAGAAATAATTGTTGCAGGTGAATTAGATTATGAAGAGGGATCGAAGTATGAACTGATGGTTGAAGCCAAAGATGGTTATGGCCTGTCTTCAGAAGCTAAAGTGATTATTGACATCACTGATGTGAATGACAACGTCCCATTAATATATATAAAATCCTTGTCCAACCCCATACTAGAAAATGCGTCTCCTGGTACAGAGGTGGGCATCATTAATGTACAGGACAGAGACTCTGACAATAACCGACAGGTTCGCTGCTCCATAGAGCAAAATGTTCCTTTTAAGATGATTCCTTCTATTAAAAACTATTATTCTCTGGTGACTACAGGAGAACTGGACCGTGAATTAGTATCTGATTACAACATTACAATCATTGCCACTGACGAGGGCTCTCCACCTCTGTCCTCCTCTAAAACTATTCAATTGTCTGTAGCTGACATCAATGACAACCCTCCTGTGTTTGAGGAACAGTCCTACAGCGCATATGTTAGTGAAAATAACAAACCTGGCTCCTCTTTATGTACTGTTTCTGCTCGAGATCCTGACTGGAGACAAAACGGTACAGTGATTTATTCTCTGTTACATGGTGAGGTGAACGGTGCCTCGATGTCCTCCTATCTATCTGTTAATGGAGACACAGGAGTGATCCACGCTGTGAGGTCATTTGACTATGAACAGTTCAGGAGTTTCAAAGTCCAAGTGATGGCCAGAGACAATGGTTCTCCTCCTCTCAGCAGCAACGTGACTGTCAGTGTGTTCATATCTGATGTGAATGACAACTCTCCTCAGATACTGTATCCAGCACCAGAGGGCAGCTCCTTCATGACTGAGCTGGTCCCTAAAGCTGCACATGGAGGGTCTCTGGTGTCCAAAGTGATAGCAGTGGACGCAGACTCTGGACAGAACGCCTGGCTGTCCTATCATATAGTCAAAGCCACAGATCCTGGACTTTTCACTATTGATCTGCACAGTGGAGAAATCAGGACCCAGCGGGACATTTCAGAATCTGACAGCATGAAACAGAACCTGATTGTTGCAGTGAAAGATAATGGACAGCCCTCTCTGTCTGCCACCTGTTCAATGTATTTACTCATTTCTGATAACTTGGCTGAAGTGCCAGAACTGAAAGACATTTCTTATGATGAGAAGAACTCCAAACTGACCTCTTATCTGATCATTGCCCTGGTTTCTGTGTCCACCTTCTTTCTGACCTTCATCATCATCATCCTGGGTGTGAGGTTTTGTCGCAGAAGAAAGCCCAGACTGTTGTTTGATGGAGCAGTAGCGATTCCAGGAGCTTATCTCCCTCCAAATTACTCAGATGTTGACGGAACAGGAACTTTACGCAGCACCTACAATTATGATGCCTACCTGACAACAGGATCCAGAACCAGTGACTTTAATTTTGTGTCATCTTACAATGACAACACGCTGCCTGCTGACCAGACCTTGAAGAAAAGTCCATCAGAGTTTGCTGATGTGTTTGGCAGCTGTGACATTTCTCCTGAGGTAGGCACCTGTCTGACATAGTAATACTTCTTCTGTTTTTGTCGTTGGAATTTTTCTTGCAATATCTAATTTTTTCAAGTTTGACTTCATATCGAGGTGTTTGCAGTTATCTAATGTTTTCTTTTAAGGATTTGAAATCTTCAGGCATAACAGTAAAATAAATAAAAACGCTGTTAGTATTTAGCTTCTCACACTGACAGCAATTTTGGAAGTCCAACAATAGTACTTGCTTTGCTTTTATCTTTAAATACATGTCCAATATCAGGTTTTGCTCTATCTTGCGGTCAGAAATTTTTAAGTGACTTCCATGTACTCTCTTTCATCTGATTTCTTTGTAACAGTATTACAAACATAATACCAGGATACTCATCTTTAAACAGAGTCTACTTAAGTTGTACTTAATGAGATATGATTATAAATCTGTAAATAACAAAGCAAATCTGTTATTTGGACATGTTTGTATTACCAACTAAATTAATGAAGGGATATTACTGTTTAGTTACCGTAGTTTATTTATTTGTTTGTTTGTTTAGGTTATGAACAACACACACACTAACAATGACATGACTGCATTAATGATTATTCTTATAGACACTATATAGATTACTAAGAACAAAAAGTTTTTTATTTTGGAACTTTTTAATGACGGTCAGGTTGACCATAATCCGTCAAACTCCGTGCATTTTGTCTGTCTGACTTTCCGTACACATAAACCGTACAGATTTATGTTGTATGATTTTAGCACTCATCAAACCTATAAAGTGAAAGTCAGACATTATTCGGAGTTTTTATTGCTTTAAAGAAAGGTTTCTGCAGCGTTGTTTTGCCGTTAAGAACGCTGAGAGGACGAATTATACTAAAGAAGAAATTATTTATTCGAAGGCAGACTTTTATACTGAGAACAGTGTAAAAGTGCTGTTTCTTCCTTTTTCTCAAGGTGTCACTATTTGCCTGTCTGTGAGAAGGCTCTTCTTCCCTCCCCGCGCCGTTTTAGATGTAAAGAAAGCTTCACAATTCAATCTGCGCATCCAGACAGATCGAGAAGCGCTCGAATTACTTCTGTTTTTGTGCGTTGCTGTTTCTACCACTGATTTTTTTTGTGGAATATAACCAAGGGTCCCTGTTGTGTTTTGAAAACATTTCCTATGTGCCACAATGGAGCATCGGATTGTGTGTCTCCTCTTTTTGTTCTGGATCGGAGTGAATGGAGACGTGAGCTATTCGGTGCAGGAGGAAGTGAAACGTGGATATGCCATTGGAAATGTAGCGAAGGATCTGAACCTGGACGTGGGTAAATTGTCACTACGGAATGCTCGTGTTGATGCGGCAGGGAATCGGAAGCGATATTGTGATATCAATAGAAGCACAGGGGATTTAACTGTTTCCGACAGGATTGACCGAGAGGAGCTGTGTGGAGAACGATTGTCTTGTGTAATAAAACGCGAAATCGTGCTGGAGAACCCTCTGGAATTGCATCCTTTCAGTCTGCATGTTCAAGACATTAATGATAATACACCTCAGTTTAACGAAGCGTCGTTTGCATTTGAAATTCGAGAGTCGGCAGCAAAGGGAGCTCGTTTTTTAATCGAGGAGGCGCACGACGCGGATGTAGGACAAAATTCAGTTCAGCAGTACAGACTTGAAAAAAACGAAAATTTCATTCTGGCTGCTAATGGAAACACAGTGGAGCTTGTTTTAGATAAGGAGCTTGATCGAGAAAAACAAAAGGAAATGAATTTACTCCTTTCAGCTCTAGATGGCGGATCTCCTCAGAGATCAGGTACAGTGGTCATACATGTAACTGTACTGGATGCTAATGATAACGCCCCAGTGTTTAGCCAGGCCGTTTATAAAGCCAGTCTGCCTGAAAACTCTCCTATAGGTACTGTAGTGATAACAGTGAGCGCAACTGATGCAGATGAGGGAGTGAATGGAGATGTGACTTATGATTTTGGACATGTTTCAGAAATTGTAAAGAAAGTTTTTGGCCTTGATCCTAAGACAGGAGAATTAAAACTCATTAGCGAGATAGATTTTGAATCGGTTGCAACTTATGACCTGCGCATTAAAGCGAAAGATGGCTTGGGATTGTCATCTTACACTAAAGTGACTGTACATGTCACCGATGTAAATGACAATTCACCTGTTATTTATATAAAGTCTCTAGCAAACCCAGTACCTGAAAATGTGTCTCCTGGCACAGAGGTGGGCATCATTAATGTACAGGATGTAGATTCGGATAACAGTCAAAATGTCCGCTGCTACATTCAGCAAAATGTCCCTTTTAAGTTGATTCCTTCCATTAAAAACTATTATTCTCTAGTGACAACAGGACAACTAGACCGTGAATCATTATCTGATTACAACATTACAATCATTGCAACTGATGAGGGCTCTCCACCTCTGTCCTCCTCTAAAACTATTCAGTTGTCTGTAGCTGACATCAATGACAACCCTCCTGTGTTTGAGGAACAGTCCTACAGCGCATATGTTAGTGAAAATAACAAACCTGGGTCCTCTTTATGTATTGTTTCTGCTCGAGATCCTGACTGGAGACAAAACGGTACAGTGATTTATTCTCTGTTACCTGGTGAGGTGAACGGTGCCTCGGTGTCCTCCTATCTATCTGTTAATGGAGACACAGGAGTGATCCACGCTGTGAGGTCATTTGACTATGAACAGTTCAGGAGTTTCAAAGTCCAAGTGATGGCCAGAGACAATGGTTCTCCTCCTCTCAGCAGCAACGTGACTGTCAGTGTGTTCATATCTGATGTGAATGACAACTCTCCTCAGATACTGTATCCAGCACCAGAGGGCAGCTCCTTCATGACTGAGCTGGTCCCTAAAGCTGCACATGGAGGGTCTCTGGTGTCCAAAGTGATAGCAGTGGACGCAGACTCTGGACAGAACGCCTGGCTGTCCTATCATATAGTCAAAGCCACAGATCCTGGACTTTTCAGTATTGATCTCCACAGTGGAGAAATCAGGACCCAGCGGGACATTTCAGAATCTGACAGCATGAAACAGAACCTGATTGTTGCAGTGAAAGATAATGGACAGCCCTCTCTGTCTGCCACCTGTTCAATGTATTTACTGATTTCTGATAACTTGGCTGAAGTGCCAGAACTGAAAGATATTTCTTATGAGGAGAAGAACTCCAAGCTGACCTCTTATCTGATCATTGCTCTGGTTTCTGTGTCCACCTTTTTTCTGACCTTCATCATCATCATCCTTGGTGTGAGGTTTTGTCGCAGAAGAAAACCCAGACTGTTGTTTGATGGAGCAGTAGCCATTCCAGGAGCTTATCTTCCTCCAAATTATGCAGATGTTGACGGTACAGGAACATTACGCAGCACCTACAATTATGATGCCTACCTGACAACAGGATCTAGAACCAGTGACTTTAAGTTTGTATCATCTTACAATGACAACACGCTGCCTGCTGACCAGACCTTGAAGAAAAGTCCAACAGATTTTGCTGATGTGTTTGGAGTCTGTGATGATTCCCCAGAGGTATGAATCTATAAATCTTTTTGGAATCGATCACCACTTTTTTTACTTCATGAAACTCATTTTGTATTTATTGTAAGTTATTTAGAATATTTTAATGTTTGCGAAGGTATTTCATGGTTTATACTCTATTCTTGAACTCTCCATACCATATCAGATGCATTTTATACAAGTTTACATTTGTTATTTTTATGATTGAATTTAATATTGCTTTTTGGACTTCAGTTCTGAATAATGTCTATAATTTTATTAAACTAAAGTTCTTTTGCATATTATTTTGTAGTGTCTTGTAGATTTATTGTGTAAACGTAAAATTTTAGTCTTTCATTGGAAGCCACTCAAAGGGTGTTGTATTTTGTTCTTCTCTTCTTGCTGCTGTTATGAATGAGAAGTTATATGATGCTGTATCTGTGAGAACCTTTGCGTTTCTTTTTTGCATCAGTTTTTCGTTTCTGTTTTTTAATCCCTACGACCAGAGGAAACATGCTCATCTTTAGATGATTAATTAGAAGTAAAACTATGGTGCTATTTTCTCATTTTTATTGTTGTCATATTCATGTTTTGCATAATGTTTCAGAACTTCAGCTTTCAGTCATTAGTTATAAAGAAAGATCACTGTCAAATGCTTTCTCCTCTCAAGCCAGACCTTTTCTCGTGTTTATTTTTCATTCACTTTCAAAGAAGGTTTTGAGGTATTTTCTTCTTCTATATTCATGATTTTTGACTCAAATCTTACAAATTTCTTCATATTTCTTGCTTATTTTCTACTTCTCCTCTTGCTTTTTATGAAAGGAATCACAGCTTCTGTTTCTTTCTCTATCCTTGGTCCTGAAATCCACGTCATGAAGACTTCTGAAATTGTGTGTTATAAAGTAATTTGTTTTCAGTATTATATTTACTGTTTTGTTTGGATTTATTAGCTTATTAATGTTTGTGTTCATTATACATAAGCATTTAATTTAAGTATTTCAGTGTTCATGATTCTAAGGGACCATTTTTTCATTTGGTTTCAGGAGGTGTAGTTTAAGTTGCCTTGTGACCCTTTCCTTTTGGTCATTGTCTTGAATTGTTACTGCAATATGGATAACAGGAAGCCATATTGCTGTAGTGAAGAATGGATTGCTGATAATGTGCGTCTTTTCACTCACGTCTGTTTTTTTAAAGCGTTTTTTCTCCTACCGACATGGAATCAGGTGGAGGACGTTTTAAAAAGACGTGGGTTGATAGCAGCTCAACGCGACTGCGTTCTGTCCGTCTCTAGGCAACCGTGACGTTCAGTGTCGGTCCGTAGCGTTCAGGGATCATTTGGCTCTTAATATTTTCTCTATTTTGTCCATTATTGTCAAACTTAGTGTTGATGTGTTTGTTATAGGCGTGTCTATGAGACAGTTATATATTGGTTCAATACGGGACGCACATTTAAGGGCCAAATATGGGACGTCTCCGTATTTAACGGGATGGGTGGCATTTCAATTCAGGGGTGCTAAAGCATCCCTAAAACAGAGCTAGCT